ACCCCTGCTGGCATGCAGGGAGCCAGGCATACCCAATATGGTTTCTCATTATCAGATCTCCACCTCAACAAGATGCACTCAAGTCTGTTTCCTGTCGGTTTTCCACCACTTGATCATGCTGCTGCAACCCCTAGTCCCTCCAATAGTACATTAATTCCCAAGCCAAGTAGCAGCGATGATATGTCTTGTTTGCTAACACTCGGAAGTTCCACCAAAACAGTGACCAAATCTGATTGTGACAAAGCACCACAACTTGTACTCTTTGGTCAACCCATATTTACTGAACAGCAGATCTCTCTAAGCAGCTCAGGAGATACGGTTTCTCCTGTTTGTGCAAGGACTAGTTCTTCAGATGGAAATGCAGATAAAATAGGGAACATATCTGATGAATCGGGTTCTACGTTTGATCATCGTGGTCTATCTGAGTTAAATGTAGAGATTGGACACTGTAAAGTTTTCATAGAATCAGAAGATGTAGGACAAACATTGGATTTATCAGTGCTGGGATCGTACGAGGCGTTATGCAAGAAGTTGTCCAATATGTTTGGCATTGAAACCTCAGAGGTGCTTAATCGTGTGCTTTACCAAGATATCACTGGTGCGGTGAAGCAACTTGGTGATGAACCATTTAAGTATGTGTTTAACTTCCCTGTGTGTGATACTCTGCACTCTGACTTCACACAAATTTGCTCCTAAACCATTTTGTTTGTTAATTAGTTTTCATTTCTTTTGCAGTGACTTTGTGAAAACAGCACGAAGGTTAACAATTTTAACGGATGCAAGCAGCATAGGCGCTAGGGAGTAGAGCGAACCAGTAAAATCTTCATTTTGATATCAAACTGTGAGCGCTATTCCTGCACTTTCTTCTTGGACATATCCAGTAGTAGAAGCTCAAACTGTTGAATGACTGAGATTCTGCAACTTTTCAGCTCTAATCTTGGACAGTATGTTTACTAGGTTTGGCGATTATTTTGAGTTTTGTTTTCAGACAATACCTACAACGAACAAGATAATCTTGCTTTTTGTAGGCTTTGTCTGCTCATTCTAAAGTTAGGCTACTTTTAGCGTGCTTGTTACTGCGATGGTAGAAATTCTGTCTCGTTTTCAGTATATTGCTCTTTACAGTTGAAAATTTGAGAAATACAAGAATCATGTTGTCTTCAGCCATTACCTCTTGATCAAAGATTCTTAACCATACTCATGAGCAGGGGCAGAGTTACATGGTTTGAAAGGGGTTCTATTGAATATTTTCGCTGGGAGATTATACTGTGTATAGGTAAATAAATGTTTGTGTGTGTGTATATATATATACACACTTCTGAACTACATAGACACTAAGGAAACTTTTAGTATAATGGTAAAGGTGGCTCAAAAATTGGCGATTCGCCGCTGAATGCCTCACTGTCTTAAAAGTTTCGGAAAAGGGCCAAATATACCCATATACTTTCGAAAATGGTTTAAGAATACTCCTCGTTATACTATTGGATTATATATACCCCTCCCGTCATATTTTGGAACAAATATAACCTTATTTTGGATGGAGTGCCACGTGGAAGCACCAGATGAAAACGATCAATTTCTTTTTTTTTTTACCCAATCCGTTTTTAAAAACCCACCACCCGACCCGTTTTAAAATTTAATTTTTTCAGTTTTTTAAAGTATGTATTTTGTAAAAACTAGAATTTTCTTTTGTGAAAACTGAAAAAAAAAAAAAGGAATTTGCAAAATATATATTTTTAAGTTTTTTTCAGTTTTTTTGAAGTATTTTTTTTTTGTAAAAACTGAAAAAAAAATATTTTTTGTAAAAACTGAAAAAAAAAACTCTCCTAAAGCAGTGGACTACATATGCATTAGTTTAAAAAAAAATAAAAAAAATTTGCAAAATCTTTTTTTTTCTTCAGTTTTTACAAAAAAAATACTTTAAAAAACTGAAAAAACTGAAAAATATATATTTTGCAATTTTATTATTATTTTTTTTTTCAGTTTTTACAAAAAAAATACTTTAAAAAACTGAAAAAACTGAAAAATATATATTTTGCAATTTTATTATTATTTTTTTTTTCAGTTTTTACAAAAAAATATTTTTTTTAAAAATGCTTTAAAGTAAAAATCGAAAAATATATATTTTGTAAAAACTGAAAAAAAATAGGAATTTGCAAAATATATATTTTTCAGTTTTTTAAAGTATTATTTTTGTAAAAACTGAAGAAAAAAGAGTTTACAAAATATTTTTAATTTTTTAAAACTAATGCATATGTACTCCTTTAGGACAATCTTTTCTTTTTTCAGTTTTTACAATTTTTTTTTCCAGTTTTTACAAAAAAAATAATTTAAAAAAACTGAAAAATATATATTTTGCAAATTCTTTTTTTTTTTTTCAGTTTTTACAAAAAAAAAAATTCCAGTTTTTTCAAAATATATGCTTTAAAAAAATTGAATTTTAAAACGGGTCGGGTGGTGTGTTTTTAAAAATGGATCGGGTAAAAAAAGAAATGGGTCGTTTTCATCTGGTGCTGCCACGTGGTACTCCATCCAAAATAAGGGTATATTTATTCCAAAGTACGACGGGAGGGGTATATATAACCCAATAGTATAACGAGAGATATTTTTAGACCACTTTCGTAAATATAGGGGTATATTTAGCCCTTTGCCGTAAAAGTTTTCATTGAAGAATTAGAGCAAATATTTTCTCAACGAATTTGGTATATTTTGTGCAGGACTACGTTTCATAGGGGAAAAAACCAACAATTTACATTTAATAAATAATTTTGGAATACTTCGAGTTGACTTGACTAGTGTTAATCTGATCTAATGTAATGTGTACAACACATTTCTGCAGTTCGAAAAGAGCAGAAGTCACATGATCGAAACATTTGTAGTACTGTAGTATTTAAAGCTGCTATTTTGTTGCCGCAAGAGTTGGGAAACTTACATTTATATTTTTTTAAAAATCCATAAAACAGATGACCACAAGGAGTCGGGGACCAAACTGTTACCTTTTTGGACTCAAAGCACAAAAATAGGTGAAAAAAATAATTGATGATCAATTTATATAAAATACATAAATCGAATGCGCTATACCTTAATGTCATGTTTATCCGTTAAGATATAGCGCATGCAACACATGTGCTATATTTGAATTTTAAAATAACGGTCAAAATATAAGTATAGCGCATATACGAGATGCGCTATACCTAAAGTTAAAAAGACAGGTAAGTATAGCGTATCCCATATTTGTGCTATGCCTATATTAAAAAAAGCCCAGTCGTCTTCCTCGCAGATAGAATCAAAAACGGTCCCCCCCTCCCCCCTAAGCCTAAACCTCTATTGGAACCATCTGTCCCCCAAAAATCGTGTCCCCTCCGTATATTAACGAGCTAACACTGGATCCGACCCGACTTACTTTTTGGTAAAACTCATGTATATAAAGTACTAATTAGTTATTTTTACTGTGTTGTATGCTTTTTGTGATCATTTTGTGATATAATTATTTTTTTATTTTTTATCCGGGTTAGTTTATTTATGTGCTAAAAAATTATATAAAATATATATTATTATTTTATTGAATAATTAGTGTTATATGTGATTTTAGTGTTGTACGTATATTAATATGTGACTTTATTGTTGTTTAATACCCTTTAGTGTTATATTGTGCATTTAATGTTTAATTTAGTACCTTTTAGCGTAGTAAAACTGATAATAAATTTTAGCTTATGGTAGTTGACTTTGTTTATGACTATTTAGAATAGTGTGACTTTAGTGCTCTTTAGGATTCTATAGTCTAGAATAAAAACTATGTGCTCTCATTAACTAACTCGGGTAGAGTACTCAATTATGAATTTAATGTATTAGTAGATAATTATCAAATATTAGATATAAATCATAAAATAATCAGTTGACATTACAAAAGAGACGATGCCGGAAAGTTTGGGCAAAATATGACAGTTAACAAACAAATCGTTACGAATGAAATAAATTCAATATTATTTACTAATAAGTTTGTAGTATTTTTTATATGAATAATTATTAAATATATCTTGATTACTTATGAAAATTTAATATTTAATTCTGTTATAACTCAAAAAATCTAAAAAAAGATGACAGTTTAAATAAAACCCTGCAGAATTTTAGTCAAAAAATGTAGGGAACTAACATATGAAATATTAATATAGAAAATTTATCATCCTAAATATTTGTTATATGAATAATTACTAAAATATCTTATTAGTTATGAAAATTAAATATTTAAAATAACCCCAAAAATATTTGAAAAAAAAATGATAGTTCCAACAAAACCCTCCCGAATTTTAGTCAAAAATGTAAGAAGCTAACAAATAAAAAAATAATATAGAAAACATTTCAACCTAAGTATTTTTATATGAATAATTATTAAATATATCATGATTAGTTATGAAAATTAAATATTTAACTCTCTTATAACCCAAAAATAGCTGAAAAAGATGATAGTTCAAACAAAACCCTACGAATTTTAGTAAAAAAATATAAGAAACTAAGATATAAATTAATATTATATATAATGTATCAACGTAAGTAATAATATAAAAAATTTATCGATTAAATATTAATATAAAAATATCGCAATATATTTAAAGATGTTAAACGATTAAACAGAAAAATACTTTAATTAATATTGTTCAATTTACAGACATCGTCATGGAGCTTCCCCCTGTGCATCCTGGACTGGATCTCAAGAACTACTGTGGCTCCAGGGCAACCATAGGTCTTCACACATCAGGGATAGACAATGCCTGTCCCAGACCTTCCACCCCAGACGTATAGACGATCTGTGGAAGTTCATTAGGGACCACCCACTGCATCCCCGTACAGTTAGATGCCTTCAGCGGACGGGGTTTTACCGAATTATAGAGATCGGCTAGTTGCAGTTCGACTGGGCCCTGATCACAGCTATGATAGAGTGGTGGCTACCGGAGACGCACCCATTTCATCTACCCATTGACGAGGCTACCATCACACTAGAGGACGTGGATATTCTTTTCGGGTTGCTCGTTGATGGTATGCATGTAGCTTACCCGCATGCTCTTAGGGACTATACAGGAGAGGACTACCTTCATATGTTGTAGAGGCTCACCGGTTTCTAGCCTACGGAGCCGACTGCGTTGAGTGGTGCCAGTCGATTGCAGCTGATGCCTGTTAGGCAGCATCTGGTGGCGCTGCACGTGGAGATTACTGATGACTCACCGCCAGAGGATATCGACCGGCAGACGAGGCTGTTGCTGTTGATGATGTTTGGTGGTATTCTGTTCCCGAACTTTTTGGTATACATAGTCAGCTTGCGATTTCTACATCATCTGGAGCAACTAGATGAGTTACCTGGTTACAGCTGGGGTAGAGCTGTTCTAGCTTACCTTTATAGGCAGTTGTGTCGGTCGTCTATGGGCACCGTGAGAGACGGTTCCGATTTTATACCGCTGCCGCAGGTGAAAACATAGTCAATTATTTTCATGATTATAACATAGATAGTAAAAAATGACTTAAATTTTACGTCCACAATTAATATTAGGTTTGGGCCTAGGAGCGGTTCCTGCAGTTCCAGCCACTTCTTCCACCGATAGCTCCAGATGCACCACCTCCACCGTTTCTCCCACTAGCTAGGAGGTGGGTAGATAGGCGAGGCCACGCCCGCGAGGTCGAGGCTCGACATCATCTCCCTTATTATAGGGATTTGTTGGATTTACATGAAGACACTGAGTTACATATATACTTAAGTTTACTTGGCCTGGCTTGATATGACTTGCGTTTACTCACGATTATTGTGTTTAATAAATAGTTCATATGGAGGCCATACAACGACGCGCTCATAGATAGATTTCCAAATTATTGCTCCCACGGCCGAGCTATGTGGATATTTTCAGTCCCACTTATACGTCTCGATATAGTCGAGCATCATGCCATCGAGCGACTCCTTTGACAGTTTGGTCGATGCCAGCTTGTTTCTATTCCGCCCACTTGGCATTCCACACATTACCAGCAGGATGAGAGCCGCAAGGTCGACCAGACATACTTGGCCTGGCTAGAGGCCCAGATAGAGGATTGGAACCAGAGGTATGGCCTGATTCCATCATACCCTCCACCTGACCGTTTGGACGGGGAGCATGAGTATATGGGTTGGTATCGCAGTGTT